CCTGGATCTCCCTCTCTTTGGCTAAGCCTCTGCCTTTCCAAGCATGATGTCTGTTTCCCAGTGCTGGCCTCTGCCTGACGACATGCCCAAAGCATGTGAGACCCCGTTTCGCCACCCTGCCTCTGAGGAGCACCCTGGCTGCTTGTCCTCCAGGATGGATTTGCTTTTCTTTGGCAGTGTATGGCATACTCAACTCTCTTCACCAACACCATGATTCAAAGACACCATTTCTTTGATCTCCCTTACTCACTGTCTAACTCTCACATGCAAAGGAAGCAACTGAAAACACCACGGCTTGAGCCTCATGCTCCTTACTCTTGAGCAGGCCTCCTTGACAGCAGGACTTGTTGTTAGGACAACTCCTGTTACTGTTATTACCATTGCTGCTGTTACTACAAGGCCTGTTTGGCTGCATCACTTAGGTCAACACTTAGTGTTTCTTCACCCATAAGGTGGTGACAGCAGTCCCTCCCTCCCTCCCTTCCTTCTTTCCTTCCCTGTCTGTGGCTGGAGAGGGAAATCACAGCCGTGGAAGCACATCAGTGCCACAGCCATGACCCCTTGAAGCCCAGGTCTCAGGACTGCCAGATGCCATGTCACAGAGGAATGGATGCGGCATCCTGGGGGGCTCGTCAGAAGGCTCCTTGGCACCCTGTGTGCTAATCACTGAGCAAGTGGAAGCTTCTGGGGAGCCTGGCTGGGCTGAGACTCTGTGACACGGAGGCCACAGGGGAAGACACCGGGCCCACTTCTCTTCTGCGACCAACCAAGACTCTAGCAGCGGGTAAAGCTTTAAAGGACATCATTAGACTTGTGTAACTGAATACTTATCCGCCAGCATCTTCTACACACGCATATTTCTCCAAGTCTCCTTACTGTTTGCTTGGTATCCTGAGCTAAACGTTTGAGAGTTATTTCTAACTTTACGTTCAGATTAAAATCCATTGTCAAATTGATTCCAACCTAGGGTGGCCTTCCACTGGGTTTCAAAGATGGTACATTTTAACTGGCGCATACACGTCTTTTTCCAGCAGAGAGATGGTGGATTTGAACAGCTGATCTTTCAGTTAGCAGCCAAAAATGTAAACCACTCTGCTACTATGCGAACTATCTACAATTTAATGGAGGAAAAAAAGACTACAGTTAAAGAAACTCATTTAAGAAACATTGACACCTCATTATAAAAAAAACATATAAGAGAATAATTTAGCATCATTATTAAGCAAGAGACTTTCTTAAGATGAGAAGGACAACAGCCATCTCATTTGTTTCCTTTTTATTTTTTTTTAACATTTCACCAAGGTTTAGGTAGAATTTTATAGGGCAAGCTGGTCTCCTATCCAACAATTATATACATCAGTTATAATCCCACATTTGCTTTTTCAGTCTCTTAACTCCAAGAATATTACACACATTTATTGATATGGGCTAACCAATTTACATTCTCATAAAATAAAATGAAATTTTATGATGAAAAAGAGATATACTGCAAAATATCCAAATGACAGAGCCAAGTATTGGCTCTGAAAACAAATCTGAAGGCTAACAGCATAATTGGCCTCAGTCACGCTCACTCACATACACTCATCAACTGCTGAAAAGCCTACTGAGGGAAGAGGTCTACCTGGAGCTTCACGGAGTTTCTGACTGAAGGGAGACGAGGCCTGGCCATACAAGACTGGCGGTGGTGAGGCGGAGGGATGAGTGGTCACATGGGTAAATGCCCACAGACACCACCTAGCATACACTGTGACAATCCCAACCTGGCCCAGATTATAGGCAACCAGTAGGGAGTTCTGGTGGCCAAGCAGTAAGACATTGCAATGCCAAGCACAAAGCACTTAGCTGCGATCCGCTAGGTGCTTCACAGGAGAAAAGTGGACAAGCTCCTCCGACGTCCTCACCAGCTTCTGAAAACTACTGTCTGCATGTTTGTTTGTTTTTTTTTTAAAATAACACCTAAAGTTTATTAGATGACAGCACACACAGGAAACTCAATAGTCGAGGAGCCTACTATCCGTTCCCAAAGGGATCATCCTAAGAATTGAGACCCAAGAGGCAAACCCCGGCAAAGGCCTGGTCTGCTGGCGTGTCGCTCGCGGTTAAAAGGGCTGCCTGCAGCGGGCTGGGGCCCCAGTTATGCGCAAACTCATGCTCTTGCGCAGCAGCGTAACCCCCGACACCACGGGGAGACGCGCCGGGTGTCTGCATGTTTTCCTGCAGAATCCAGGGCACTGAGCACACCACGCTCTCTATACAGTGTACAGCACAGCATCAGATGGAGACAAATTCTGAGAGGTTCCCCAGTGAAGATGGGGTGAACGTCCCTGATAAACAGCGGTGAGCCCCTCTGCTCCTCCTTCATGCTGACCTCACGTCATCCACGTCCTCAAAGCCTGCGCTCATTCAGTGATATTTAATCATCATTTGAACTTTCACTCAATTTGATGGGTAGAGGGAGGGGTGGGTAAAGGAAAAGGGAAAGATCTGGTGTAAAAAACAATGTGTACAAACTTTGTAAGTAAACCAGTATAAAAGAAAAATTTTATGAAAAAAAAATCACAAATAATCATCGACTGAAATTTGTAATAATTTTATTTGTTGTTGTTGTTTAATGCCGTGGAGTCGTAGACGACTCATAGCGACCCTATGAACGAACAGCCTGAGCACTGTTCGTACATAGAGTTTCCGGAGGCAAGCCATTTCGGAAGTGGATGCTGCTCCTGCTTCCAGGCTTGATTTAGTCAGGAAGCTCCAGCCAACACTGTCCACCATGGGTGCCCATTACCACAATTGGCACATCACTGTCACAGGCTTTAGCATCACAGCAACCACGAGTTACCTCTGTACAGCAATGCACAGACTAGTGCTATACCACCTAGAAGAATGTTTGACAGGAAGACAATTTGAACCTGGCCGAGGGCCATAAAAAATTATTTTCTTTAAAAAGAAAGACAATGGAGCAGTGGGAAAAGCCCTCCTTACTCTCTGCCTGCATCTGTCCATCAAGCACCTGTTCATCTATCCAACCATCCACTCCTTCACAAACATTTAGGTTTTTTTTTAGCCAACAGGTGCCATCCTGTGCTTTCGGAACTGGCCTTCTAGTGGGAACAGACAGAAAACAAGTAAGTTTGAAAACAATGTAATGGAGACACCTGTGCTAGGTACTGTGAAGAAAGAAGAAACAACCGATAACTGACTGGGGATCTAGTCAGGATCCTGGTGAAGAAGTGAATTCCACTCAGGCAATTTAAATACTGAGTCATGAAAGAACAGAGGCCTTGGTGGAGGTCCCTGGACACTAGCAGCAGCAGAGGCTGTATGAAGGGGCCGGGGGTGGAGGGAGGGGGTAAGGTGTCCCAGGAGCAAGTGGAGGTATAGAGGGTGTGAACTGGAGGGCTTCTGCTACAGAGGGACACAGGGACACAGACATGGACAGAACCATAGTCTGAAGTGGAGGGATAGGAGGAAGACTAGAGATAACTGCTCTCTCCTCTCTCCGCTGGCTCCCGGCCAGTGCCTCTGACTGGTAGAACCCGAAGCCACCTGACCTGGGCAGCGTGGCTCAGTCTACAGGGTTCAGTCAGCTGAAGAAGTGAGCAGGAGATCAGTGCTGAGAATGAACGGGGATGAGAGAGGTGGAGGGTGACCAGGAAGGGGGTGGTCTACTTAGAAAGGAGAGTTAGGGGAAGCCTCCCTGTGGGGGTGACATTTGATCTAAGACTGAGGATGAGAAGAGGTTCCAGCCACAGAGAATCAGGGGATGTGCTAGAGGGCAGAGGGATCACGTGATGCTTTCATCATGCCTCTTACTCTGAACCCCACCTTCAGTCCACCTCACCAGGGCATGGCGAACACAGACCCACACGGTCCAACTAAGAGAAACAGAGACCTTTACTCTACAAGCTCAGAGAAGCGGAGCGCCTGGAGCTCACACCCCTCCATGGGCAGTCTAGCGGTGCTGCTCATTTTAATACACAGAAGAGGTAAAAAAGAGGGCAGATGTATATAAAAGGAGGCGGGGGTGGGGTGGGGGGAGGCAATGGAGGCACGTGTAACTCCCTGCTTTCCATCCACACAGCTTCTCTCTGAAGGGCTCAGCTCTCCACATTTCCAGATACCCCGATACTATAAAACTGGCATAAAAATGGGCTACTGAATCCACTCTTCTTAATGATCAGAAAAACCAGTTAATATACCTATAATTTAAAGCCACAGTGCCATATTTTTACACAAACAATGTAAGCATTATTCAGTTTTAAATAAATTACGCATTAATTAATTTCCTCTGTATGCTCTACACGTTAGATGTGTGGGTGTTATTTATATGAGCACAGTATATGTGAAAATTTTAAAAAGGCAATTTCCTGTTTTGTTTTACCTCCAAGTCACCAGGCTAAAATGTACATAAAACAAATACCTAAATCCTATTAACCCGAGTATCTAGTGAGATATACATGGACATATAATTTCTGTTGTTTAGAAACCAGTTTTTGGTTTTTTTTAGATTAACAAGATTATCATCTGAATTAAGTTATCTGATTTTTTATCAAGCCTTTTGGCTGATTCATTGAAATTCACTGAGGCAGCATCATAATTCATGGGACATCTGGCCTCGGGCAGAATGGGGGTTTCCTGTGGGCAACCAGGTTAGACAGTGTAACAGGAGTTAGTCCTTTGGCCTCCAGGATACAGTCACCAACTGGAAAACTGTTCCTTTCAAGGACATAACAAGGCGTTGCCTGCAAGATAACGAGACGCATCCTCTACCACATCCAGACCCAACCAATTTTTTTTTTAAGATCTTAAGGAACTTTCATTATCCCTACATTAGTCCTAAATTTCCCTAGTGGCTGATTAATCTATTTCCTCTTGTTTTGTCCCTGATGAATCTGGAAACAGATGGTAATTTCCCCCTCTCCTTTTCTTAATTTCTGACTCTTACCAAGTCAGTGAAAACTGCTGTCAGAAAATGTGAATCCAAACTGCATGCTCACCTGGAGGAGGGGCCGCTGTACTCCTAGCACCTTCATGGTGTCGGCGTTAGCGAGGATCTTCAAAGGGTCAGAGGTCTTGGTGACTCCTTCGATCTCCTTGTTGATCTCGGCCAAGACCTGGTTGAGGAAGATGTTTTTGATGTACACGGTGAGGAATTCACGAAGAGGGCACTGTTTGGCGGGGCCAAGTCCAAGGGCATGCTCGATCTCCTGGATAAATCTGGAAGACAAACAGTGAAAACGTTACTGCGTGTATCAGATAATGGTTGCTGTCGAGTCAAATCCGACTCATAAGCTGACCCTTCAGTGGGTTATCCACAAGAGTTACATAAACATGTTGCAACACACAGAGCCCTGGGTGTACCTAGGCTTGGCTGTGTCCATGGAGAGATGCGGGGACCTTCCAGCTCATCATTTATTCATCATCGTTGTTGTAACGTGCCATCAGATCAACTATGACTCAGAGCGACCCTCTGAACAAAGACCCTGCCCTATCCTGAGCCCACTTCACTGTCTCTGACATACCTGACACCATTGCCACAGTCACTGACAATCAAAAACCAACACAACAAAACTACCGATTACTTCACTTCTTGAAGAGGAGTAGGATAAAACAGAAAACATGACTTCTAAGCCAAGGGGGCAAAGGAGAGATGAATTATTTTAAGTATGCAATGAGATGTTGCCTGAAAGAAGAATACAGGAACAAGAAAAACATGATGACTACAAAATAGAATGTAAATCTGAAAGGCACTTCCCAAAAATACTCTTTCTCATTGAAACTCTTCTACATGTATATAGAGATATTTTTGAAGAGGATGAATGAATGTTCTCTAAATTCAAGATGATACAAGAAGAGTTGGGAGGTTAAGAAAGGGAATGGGGATGGGAGTTGGGGGACCAAGGACCTCAACCTCATTTGTAATGATTTATTCCCTTAATTGAAAAATGCAAACACGTAAGACTTATGTACCAAAATGTTAATAATTGTCCATTCTGGGAGATGAGTAGTGGACATTTATTATTCTTTGTCCTCACTTGCACAGATTCTGTTGTTGTTGTTATGTGCCCTCAAGTCATCTGAGACCCATTGTGACCCTATGTACATCAGCACTGAACCCTGCCCTGTCCTGAGCCAGTCACCGATTCTGACACACCAACTCCCATTGTCCCAGTTATTGTATCAATCCATCTGATCTGGGGTCTTCCTCTCCTGCACTGTCCCTCCACCCTTCCGAGCATGATTTCATTCTCCAAGCACTGGTCCCTCCTGGTCATGTGCCCAGAGTATGTGAGACAGAGTCTAAATCCTACCCTTCAAGGAGAAAGATGGTTTTACTCTCTCTAAGATAGACTTATTTGTTTTCTTGGTGGTGTAAGGTATGTCCAAGACTCTTCTCCAGTATCACAATTCAAAGGCATCAATTCTTCTGTCATTCTTAGTCATTATCCAGGTCTCTGATGCACAGCAAGTAATTGCAAAGACCATGGCCTGGATTGGATGCACCTTAGTCTCTAGACTGACATCGTTTTTAAGATGTGCACACATTTCAGGTGCCACATATTAGCTAGCCCCAATCCCACACCAACAGGGTCCAACTTTCAGTTCACTCACTCACTGCCTTCGAGTTGGAACCAGCTCCCGGTTGACCGTCCAACAGGCTTCTGAGGCTTGCATATCACACTGCCTTGGGTAAGCAGCACAGGTTCCCACCAGAGTCCCTGAAACACTACACAAACTGCTGCTAGCTCTCCAGTTCATGCATCCCGACCCCAGGAAGAGCTGGGCATCATGATCAGTAGCCAATCGCATCACTTCTTCCAAAGTTTGTTGGGGTCTGGCCACTGCACCAGCTCTGTGCGTCAACTCACATTGATGGCTACAGCCAAGTGTGTAGATGTGCTGTCTCCTTGCCTTTTCATGATACAACCATGTGTTATTTTTGAAACTGGCTAATTCAAAGAGAAAATAGACTAATGAAGATACAGTATAGCACGAAATTAAAGTAGGTAACACGGGAAGATAACCTTAAATACAAGGAACTGCAGGGGCAACCATGGACTGTGGCCATGTTGGCACTGTTACATTGTTACTGAGTGGACTGTGGCAATGTTGGCACTGTTACATTGTTACTGAGAGGCTTATGCTACCACAGTGCAGGGAAGTTCTTAACATCACTAAGGAAAGTACCAGTGACCAGAGGGATGGGGAAAGATTTTTCAGAGGATGTGAAGGCAGGAAGAGAATTTCACCGAGAAGTGTTTTTGAGAAACCCTCAGAGATATTTTGTGACATGATGGAAGTAAAGAACCCAACACTGGTAGTTGATTGAAACAAAGAAGGGGGTCTGGCAGCTCCCCAAAGCAGACAGAAGCAGCTCACTGTGTTCAACATGAGAGGGCCCCCAGCACTGCTCACACGCTGTTTCCAAGACTGGAACAAAGGAATGAAGAACTTTAATCCCTAGTGCTTTAATGTTTGTGTATTCAACATACATTAGCTTTCCTACTTTTCACTTCCCTGTAGACTTATCACAGCCAATGAGAGAGGTTTTAGGATTTGACCTCCCAAACTATGTAAAGGTCATGGGACCACGAGAATTTCCCTGGTGACTGCAGAGGCTGCTCTGTATTGCTTCACCTTGCATGGTCCCACGCCAAAAAAATGAGACCAGAATGAAGGCAAGAGGCAAATGATAAAGTAGGAAGGCCTGTTTGCAGCAGAGATCATAAACGAGGGCTGGAATTGAGCAAGAAAACACAGGCAGTTTAGAGTAAAAGAAATAAATGTAAATGGTTATAAAACATGAAAACATTTTTAATCTCACTCATGGAAGAAAAATTTAAAGTAAAGTATGCCAAAACACTCTTTCCCCCCACTTTTGGAATTGGCGAGTCTAAAAACCTTGAAAAGACATTATTTCAGCACAGGTGGGGGCAAAGCTGCACTCTAATGTACCAGGAACAAAGATGGTCCAAATCTTTGCAAAGGCTAATTTGCAAAGGCTAATCATTCAGAATTACACATGCATTTCTTCTTGACCCAGAAACCCCGCTCTGGAAGCGCCTCCCCACAGCTAGAGGTGAATATGGAGGAGGTGATGATGGATACATAAGTCATGTGGATTCACTGCAGCCCAGCGTTTATGACAAAAGACTGGGAAGAACACAGGGGCCGTCACAAGGGAACCTAACAGTACAGACACAGGCCGGATTAGGGCACTGAGCAGTATAGACACAGGCCGGATTACTGCCTCGCTCCCCTGAGCCCAAAAGTGGAAGCATGTGACGCACTAACATGAAATGATCCATCTCCAGACATACTGTGAACTGAACAAAGCAGAGTATGAAACACTATGAACCGCCAGTACTTGCCACACTAGTCTTAGCGTAAGAAGTGAATGACCTCATTTGTTTATTTTAGCATAAAGACAGACCCTCTGGGCAGATGCACAGTACAATGACTAAAAGTTAGTCCTGTGAAAGGTGGAAGTCGAGATGCGGCTGGAGGAGGAGTGGGACCGAGAGGTCGCGGAGGTAACTTTATCATAATTTGGTTTTTCAAATCTTTGAATATATTTCCTATTCAAATAAAATTAAATCAGAAAATAGAAAAATTACCTACACATATCAGAACCTACATTTCACAAATTGCTTTCTAATTAGAGCACATTTAAAGTCAGCTGCACAAATTTTCATTAAGGAGAAGAGCTTAATCACTAAAGAGTTTCATTTAACTACTAAGTCAATGCTTTACATGGAGTCCTGGGTTACAACTGTCTTGTTCGCATGCACACAGTTACAAAGTCTCGTAGAAGGCCATTGTAACAAAAAGCTGAGCTACATCAAGTTCACAGTAACAAAGGGACACTACTTTGCGAGTTGGGGGAAAAAATATTTTAACTTTGTAAGTAGCATGTTAAAAGGAGTTCTGATGCCAATAGTCTATATAGGCAGTTGCGCTGTTAACCCAAAGGTGGTGGCCTGCTGGCAGTTTGAATTTACCAGAATCTCTGCGCAAGAAAGATGGGCATCCTCCTCCTATCAGGGCAAAAAGGTCTGATTTTGGTGGCTTTTTCTTAAATTTTAGCTTTATTATGTTAAAGGCTATTCAGAAGTGCTTCTTAAATATTTGAGGTTTTTTTAAAATGTATATGAAAATAATACTAGATATTATAAGAAATATTCAACTAACTGACACTAGATATGAATTATACCTAATTGTTTGATTTACACACTAATTCAGTTTTGGAGATAGACTTAGGAACAGAACTTGTGGGTAATCGAGGGACTGCCTGTGTAGTTAATCTTGTATCTCACCAGCTAAACAACCCATTAATTCTACGTGCGTACAAGAGCGAGCGAGAAAGTGTGAGAAAATGGGGGTGGGGGTGGAAGATAATTTTAAGATTATCACAAAGAATTTTAGAGAGAAAGTGAGAATGGAGACGCTAAGAAAAAAACAGAAAAAGACTGTTGTAACCAATGTTGTCAACATGGGAAGGGGAAGAAAGTCATGGTCAAAAACAAAACAGAAGAGATCTTTACAAAAAAGAGGCAGAGTGCAAGAAGGCAGGGACAACGGAGAAGACAGTCAGCCATGACCAGTGTGCCGAATCGTGGTCCCCACGGCCACCATACAGGCCCCTTCTTCTCTGATGGGATCCCAGGCAGTCTTTACCCCCACCGGCATCTCACTATGCTTCGACCTCTGAGGGAAAAATGAATGCTGCTACAGTGATTGGGCGAACACAGCAGAGCCCTTTCCATTTTGTTAACACTGTGGGATCAATCGCGAGATCATTACTCTTCTCGAAGGCACTTCGAAAAAGTATTTTGAACAGAAGGTCTCTTATCCCTTCAAGGTCTGTGTACATATCCGAAGGTCGTCCTGATTTAGCACTTTCACTGGTCATACTGCTCTGAACAGACCGGCAGAAGGGCCTACACTGTCCACATTTTCCTTCCAGGCTCTCCTGTGCTCTGAGGTAGGAAAGCCTCTCTTGGGGTGCTGAGGGACCGTTCCCACTCTTCTTGCTGACTGACTGCTTTTGGATACAAAGAATTTATTCCCTAACACACACACACACACACACACACCCTGCCCCCCTACAATGACACCTCCAGGCCGATTGTGCCTTCTCCAGCTCCAGGGAATGCGGTCATCATGCCCTTAGACCTGCACAAAGCTGAAGGGGCTTATTGGGCAGGAAGCGTGGC